TATATATATATATATATATATTTTTTTTTTTTCACATATATATTTAATGCATTCATTTTAGACAAACAAAGTGTTTCGTTTGAGAGTTTATACGTTATCATAACCAATTGTCTTATACTATCGTCTTTTTTATATGACCTTAAAAACATTTTTTGTAAAAAAAGTTCAAGTTTGTTATCATTAAAACATGCTTTCCTAGAAGATCTAAGATCGTCCTTTGATCTATTAACCTCATAAAGAATCCGATGAATGCCCTAGTGAATCCTCTACTAAATGGAAGAATTATCATGTTTGGCCAAGATTGGTGAAGAAAGCACTCATCACCAAAAACAAGTTTCAATTCTTAGATGGAACCCTTCTTGCACCAGATGAATTCGATCTGTGCTTTAATGCTTGGGAACGCTAGAATAACTTGGTACGCTCATAGATTATAAATTTTAATGTACCTTCAATTGAATAAAACATATTTTATGTTGAAAATGCATCTAATGTATGGAATGACTTGAAAGAACACTTTGCACAAGAGGATTATGTTTACATAGCAGAGTTAAAGTAAGAATCATACTCATTCAAGCAAGATTCGTTGTGTTACTTATTTTTTTACTAAATTGAAATTTTTATGGGAAGAGTTAGACAATTATAGACATAATCCCTAATGTCATTTCTTTATGGGATAAAGTGAAAATTTTGCCATGGTTCGATCTCAATTACCTCTAATTAAGCCCTTACCAAGTCTTAATTGAGTCTTGTTTATGGTGGTACAGTACGAGAGGTATTGTCTAAATAGCTCGACTCTTGATGAAGATGAAAGACATGTTATGGCTAATGTTATAGGTGCAAGATAGTTTTTCGGTAAAGGAAGAGGAAACTTTAGTAACAAAGCTTGTACGTTTTTGTGGTAAAGTTGGTCATATGTGGACACATGTACAAAAAGGATGGATATCCACCTGGTTACTCATTTGGATCAAAGTATTTGGATCAAAGTATAAAGGTTCTTCTACAACTACAAATTTAGTTAGTAATGGTGATGAATTGGAATCTAAGGATGAAGAAAATGTTTATGTAAAGGGACAAAGTGGTCCCACATTTACTCGTGAAGAATATAAGGCATTTTTTTGTCTTTACTCAATTCACACAACATGAAGTCCAATGTAGAGACTCAAATTTCACATGTTGTAAATCAAGTTTTCTAAAATAATCAAATTGTAGAGAACTTACATGAAGGTATTAATCTCAATACCATATGTTGTTCACTTTCTATGAGTAAAGATGTATTCAGATCATATATGTTCATCTTTGAGATAGTATAAACATTATCATAAAATTTATTCTACTTTAGTTCACTTGCCTAATGGTAATGTTACAAAGGTTAAGTACACAGGAGTAGTTAACTTGAATGATGACATTGTGTTGCTAGATTCAGGGACAAATGCATGAGTAACACAGCAGGGGTTATGGCTACTGGAAATTAATATTATAATTTAATATCAAATATATATTTGTTTTTTTAATAATTTTTTTCCCCTTCACGTGATGGTCTATTACATTTTGACCAAGTCCTTTTTTTGTTTTATTAATTATTTTGTAAATCCTTTTTATTGGTTTTCAAATGTTATCTTGTT